TCCAGTTTTACAACCGAGAGGTCGCCATATTCTAGAAAGACAGAAGAAACCAAAAATATATTAAACCTATGTTATTTAATTTTAGCATTTGATAGATTAATATAAATATACTGTATAATAATAATACATGTTCTATTGTTAGAGAAGTAAAAGTTGAAATACTAAAATAGCAAAGTTCTAAAATGGGAATTGTTGTGGAACGCGTACGAGTTGGGATTAATAAAATCGTTCATCCCCTTGGGGGTGAGATAGGGGGATCTCAACCTGAGGGGGGGGGGGATTCTTAATTTGCCAAACATGAGGCTTTGCCGAGTGTTTTGTAACTTATGAATATTCCCCCGAGGGTTGAGAACCCCCTATCTCATCCCCGAGGGGGTGAATGATTATTTTTCTCTTACCCTGTTGTTCCTGTCCAAGTGTAAGACGAAGCATATTGTTTGTAAACAGTAACACGTGGGTAGCCTATTAGTATTATATGTATGCGTCGGACGGTTCACGCATCATATTTTAAACATTTTAAAATCAATCCCATCAATGTCAAATGTAAACACGACAAGATTAGCAGACGAACTTGTGTATGTGTGTGACCTCATAAAAGTAGTTCTTCCTCTGGGTCACATCAGTGACGTCAGGTTTATTGTGGAGAACGTGCAAAGAGCACGTGTAGCTTGTCTCAACCCTAGGGTGAGACAAGGAAATCTCACACCGGTAAAAGTAAGGATAAAGCTGTCCAGGGTAAGAGAATAATAGAATCATTCACCCCCTTTGGGGTGAGGTAGGGGAATCTCAACCCGCGGGGGAAGATTCTTATGTTGCCAAACACGAGGCTTTGCCGAGTGTTTGGCAACTTAAGAATCTTTCCCCGAGGGTTGAGATTCCCCTATCTTACCCACAAGGGGGTGAATGATTCTTTTTCTCTTACATGTACCCTGTTTTCCCCAATGTGTATCATATACACAATGTAATGATAACGTTACATGCTAAATTCAGGGTTGACGTGACGTTGATGGATTGTTGACGTGACGTCATTGTATTGTTGCAGTGACGTCATACCATTGTTATAAATAGGGGAATCCCCCCGTCTCAACCCTAGGGCGGAGACAGATAAATCTAGCACCGGCAAAACGGGAGATAAATCTGTCAGGTGTGGGAGAANTTAGGTAACATTAAGAACTTAAAAGAAGTCATTATATTATGATTAAATTATAATATCATACAGACATTCTGTAAGAGCCAGCTTTTCACTCAGTAACTGTCTAAAGTTATCAAAATTAGGCGTTTTAAATATCACTAACATTGTGTACCACGGAATTAGACTATCTAAGTCCGTATTACTACCACGATAATGACAACACTTTTCATTCAATTACTGTAAAGGGCTAAATGCTTTACTTGTGCATGAACGTGTGTTCTTTCTACGCTGTTTATAGTTGTTTGATGTTACAATTGATAATTCTCAAAATTCAAAGTATTCACAGTATTAATGTTATCTCGTATAAAGTGCTAGACAAATTGGTATAACTATATATATTTATAAGTCGTATTTGTAAAATTCTTTACTAAAAAAAGAGCAAGTATAAATTGAACTGTTAGTTGTTTATTTCATGTTACTGCATTCAGACTAATTTTATCTCGACTTAATTCCGGTTGAACGGTAGATCAATAAAAAACTTCAATTAATATAACATCAAATACATGAATTAGAGATTAAAGAGCATTAAGAAAGCACCGAAGTGTAAATAAAACAACACTTCGAACTTGAAATGCAAAACAATATGAACCAGGAAGGCATCTTTGGAGACCCTTGAAAAAATTCAAAGACAATGTGACCAGGTGTTCCGGAAAAAGACAGCATATTTAAATGTTAATCGAAACATTTACAAAGTAACGAATCAACAACGTTCACAAAAGGAACAAATACTAATTGTAATGGGGGACCATAACAGAAGTCCCCAAACCCCTGCAGTTATGTTTGCAGTGCCAAAATACACCTGCATATAAAATTTGAGCAGAATCGACCAATATTTAATTTCGACCAATCAAGAGGCCGTGGCGGTATTCTTTGTTAACCGATCGGAAAATGAAAGGCCATTGCACACAACCTCACAAGATGAAAATTTGTGTAAAGTTTCATTAATTTCCGTCAAATCGTTTTCGAGACATGTGTCGGAAACCTTTACGGCGAAAGAAGAAGAAGAGGAGGAATAAACGGAGTAAAACCAATAAGTCCTCCACTTCGTTTGGGGGACTTAACTACTGACTAATGATGAGTCTTTTTTTAGTCACTTAAATTATCCAACCTTCAGTATTTACATGTCATAACTGATTCCGTATTCAAGAGCTCGCTCAAAATATGACGAACAAAACGTTTTCCAGAGATGCAGGTTGATGAAAACTGTGGAAAAGTTGTGTGGTCGCCATTATAATCTCATAGGGACATATGCTTATTTATTTGTTAGGTATGGAGGTCGTGTTTGACTATATATGTTGCCACTACCGCATTCCTCGCTATGATGACGTCACATTACTTGGATTCGACTTTAGTATACATGACGGGTGTCATCAATAAAGCAGAATACGCTTTCATTTCCCGAACACTTGATCTTCTTCTCCTTATTTTGTCTGTGTAAATATATCATTTGTCCATATTTTGCCATAAATATATCGATTCTGAGTTAGAATTATTATTGTGTTTGGCACTTTAAAATTCTATTATTTTTAATGCCTTTTGCTTCTCAAGTGAAACACAGAATAACACAAAAAGCTTTCCATTAATAATTAGATTTACCTTGAGACCCGTCAAAAAACAATATCTAGCATACAGATTTAAGACTGAAAAGTATTTGAAACTAGCACCTCTGATTCTAAACAAGGAAAATGAAGAAATGTTGGCACACCGAGTCCTTTGGGCCCGCCCTACAGCCCTTTGGGGTAGGGCTGGCTCAAAATTTTCAAAGTATCAAACTGTCAACTCAGGGTTATAATTCCAATCAAGTTATCAACATGTAATTATTCAAAGTATCATTTGCCATTATAAACCATAAGAAATTCGACCCTTTTTGGTCCCGACCCTCAGGCCCCTGGGGGCTGGGGACCATATAATTCACAATTTTGGTTGACCTTTGACCATGGAAGGTTTCTCCAAAATTTCATTGAAATTAGTTCAGAGGTGTTGGAGAAGAAGTCGAAAATGTTAATTGTTTACGGATGAACGATACGATGATGGACAAAAGGCGATCGCAATAGGTCACTTGAGACTTTGTCTCAGGTGACCTAAAAACCAAATCAGCTGCAATATGTTTTTACCATATGTTACGAATGTATGGATAAAAATATCAAGAAAGGGAAAATATCAAAATTGTAATTAATACAGCTTGAAGTAAGCTGTCCCTATTGGTCATGTTATAAGTAAATATCTAAATAGAGAGTCAGGTCTTTGACCTTAAGCAATGGAGGATTTAAATACGATTGACGAAAGAATATGAACTTCTTGTTGCTTTGAAGATAACACATTGATGTCGGATAATGAAATTAAAGGACTTGACAAGGGTTTTATTACCAGTCCTGATAAGCTCTTCAATAAATACAGCCTCATATGAAAACAACAAGAGATCCCAGAGGGATCTTGGCGCCCACCATTGAACAATCTTCATTAGTTCTATGTCAATTCAATCTTTTCTCTTCTTAACTCTTATCTGTTTGATCAGTTTGCCTGTCCGCCATCTTAATAAATCTTTTCATCAACCTCAAAAGTTAACATGCAAAACCCAGGACCAAGGGGAACCTACATTTCAAATTTGAGAAAAGTTCCTCCAGTAAATTCCGAGAAATAGCGATAACAAACTAAAACTGTAACAAGATGGCCAATCGATATGATTTGATATGCATAACTAAGAACAAGAGGAACCCTTATGTGAAATTTGAGAAAGATCCCTCCGATATTTTTTGAGCAATAGACCTAAAACTGTTACTCCCAAATTCAATATGACCACCTGCCAGTCATCTTGGTTTTCCAATCATCCCCAAAATAAGAAACTAGGAATCATTGGGAACCTTCATGTGAAATTTGAGAAATAACACAAACTAACTCTCAAACTCAATATGGCTGCCTGTCGGCCATTTTAGTTTTGTGATCAGTTCCGAAAAACGAAATGCATAACTAAGGATCATGGGAAACCTTCATGTAAAATTTGAGATAGATACTTCGAAAAAGATCTGGGAAATAGCACGAACAAACTTTGACTCTCAAACTCAAGATGGCTGACTGTCGGCCATCTTCGTTTTGCAATCGGTCCCAAAATACGATGTGCATACATAGGGATCATGGGGAACCTTCATGTAAGATTTGAGAGAGGTCCCTACAATACATTCTGAAAAATACCGCAAACAAACTTTAACTTTCAAATTAAAGATGGCTGCCTATCGGCCATTTTGTTTTTGTGATCAGTCTCAAAAACCGATATACATAACAAGAATTGTTTAAGGTAGGACAGACTGACCGCCGGAATGACGGACGGACAGACAACTACGGACGCAGGGTGATTTGAATAGCCCACCATCTGATGATGGTGGGCTAAAAACAAACTGTCTAAAGTAAAAGAGAGGCAGTTTGTTCACAAATAAATGTCTTCATACAGAACTGAACAAAGACAATAGAAACCTGGTATAACTCACTCTTTCTCACACATTTAGGTTCCACAAAGCATCAAATGCTAAGAATGAAAAATGTAGGCCCAACTCAGTACCTGACACATGAATTGTGATAAAATAACTAAGATGCAACTTTGGTCCAAGCCGTGCACTTGAGATTTGTAAGACGAATGGGATATGTTTTGTGAGCATGAGACACTCTCTCACTTCAGTTAATGCTATGTTTTAACTCATTAATGAAATGTTTAGCGTTTCACACATTGAATAATAAAGTGAACACCATTTCCTATGTTACGAGCTGAAGTAAAAAAATCAACATAATGCAAAAAATATTTAAACAATATATTTTATTGCAATACTTAGGAAACAACATATATACAATCATATACATCTATTACACAACCTCTGAACAAGCAAAACATGTAGTTCCTTAATCAGTGTGCTGTTACAATAACTGACCTAGATACTGACTAATGTTTCAAGGATTCTCCGGATACAGTCTAATTAGGTCACAAGGATTGCAACCAACAACAGTTTCCCTTACTCGTTAAATTTTAAAAGTGTCTTTAATCTGTCTGTTTCTATTTTTTGCCGTAACACAGAGGCAGAATACTTAACCAGTTGCTGATGAGACTTCTGCAAATCAGTTCTAAAAGCATTTCCAACTTCTCCAAATTCCAAGTGCTTTTCATAAATGTCCAATTTTGATTTAGCAAGGGGAAAGAAACCTGCTGTTTTGTGTTTCATTTCATCTGTTTACCCATTACATGTATATTTGTAGTTTATAACTAACCAAGATATAATCACTGCCAAGAGATTGGTTTGCCCTTCAGATTCATGTAATGGTATCTTACTGCTTTCAAGTAGGATGTCATGCTCTGAGTCATATAAGTATACAGCCATATCTGCATTTGTGATGCCAATGCATGGAAACAAAAAATGTTCGTTATCTGGATGTCTCTGCTTCTGAAGAAACGAGAAGGTAATGGTCCTAGCAATGTTCTGTTGATATCTTGATATTTTTGTCCTAGAATCTTGTTTCATCCCAACAGGAGTCGTTCCCCCGGGACTCTCTTGCAATTCCCCTTCCTCCTCCTGGGTTACAAGGATAACTTGATGGTCAATAACAGCATCCAAATTGTCGTGCCAGACCAGCCCGTTTCCTACAATAAACAAAGCAGACAGTTCATCAGAGTTTTGTCATTAGTGTGTCTGAATAAAGTTTACATAATATTATATTAACCAATGAGTAGTTCCAATGTTGCTTAATGTTTCTCAAGGATTAAAAAGGCCATGATTTGATAAGCTTATGTGGGTAATTTCCAACAACAAGAGGCCATGAGGCCTGTATTGCTAATCTTACCAATATAAAAGTCTCTAACGAAATATGGTTGCTTTACTAAACCCTAAACTGCACAATATCTCTGGACATATTTGAGCCCTATGAATGCAAAAATTGATTAAGGTCATTTCTATGTGGACACATTAATAATGGCACTCCTGTTTAGGAAGTCTCGTCCCGAGACTGGCTTGGCCTGGGGAATTTTGCGGGTCCTCCCTGTGTTCCAATGCTCCTTCCCTAACCACTGGGAACTGGCCTTACATGATACCACGGAGTCACTACACTGCCACCGAATATAACATGTGGGCGGTCACCTATCCAGCTACAGACCACACTCAACGTTGCTGAACTAGTGAACGGGCCCCCGGGATATACTGCATCACTGGAAAAGCTAGTTTTCTAGAAAGGCAGAATTTTCCCCTCAATTTTTTTAGCTGTTGCATTCTATCATAGGTATCTACAGAACAAACGTGAAGACCCTGGGCTTAATGGAATGTACAAACGCTATTAAAGATTTCCACCGGTTATAGTCATTGTTAATTTTTGACCCTTGTTAAACTTTAAAGAAAGGGTTAGTTATTAAACTAATACAAATAATGTCATCATACCTTTTAAAACATGCTTGTTCAATCACTACAGTGTGTACATCATCTCACAGATCAGTTACTGCCATCACTTTAATACAATTACTAATATAATACACAGTGCACTGCTGTAAGTTTCTACATGTTTGTGTGACCTGGGTGGGCTCGTCGAAACATTTTACATTCAGTCTAATGCAAGCTGGTGATTACCTGTTGAAACATATTCAAGCGTCTATAGATGATGCCTGCTACATACATCATGTAGATTTAGGAGCTGAAATTTCTAATTTCAGTTGTGTTTTTAACACTTAAATCATCTTAGGCATAGATTATACAGGCTTTTTTATGGCCGATTATGGGCCAGTTCCCCTCTCCAATTCCAGCATTATTTCCCCTATTTCAGTTTTATTTTCCCCTGTTTCAGTTAAATAATCACCCACTTGTAACTGAAATACAAAAGTACTACCACACAATTATCTGTCTTGGTTTTATTTTGTTTTTATTTCCCATCAATTTGACAACTGAGTAAAAGAAATTGTGTTGTTTTTTTTCCACTGCCGATATTTAACAACATTATTTACAGTCCCTGAATGTCTTAACAGTCACACAAAGGCTAATTTATTCTAATGTATATCCAGTGGTCAATTCAAACGTCTATAATGAACAACCCTCACTGGACAAGTCTGACATGCACCTACAGCGCATATTTTCCCCTAGATTTCAAAAAAGGGTACTAACTTTCTAATCCGGCATTTATCCCTATTAGATTAAGTAAAAAGTGGATTTAGAGTATTTTTCAGATTATCTTTAATGCTAGACACACACATATATATTGGCACAAGGTTGTCATGAAGGGGAATCAAAATCTACATTTGTATATATGTGATTTATTTAGAAGGAATAATGTGAATCAAATTCACTATTAATGAATGAGAAAACTCAATTCACCAACATGTAAATAAAATAAACTAGAAAAAGATGTGAATAGTCTCTATAATATACTGAAATACAATTGCAAGTACATGTAGGTCAAGGTAATTTATAATCACTTCAGGGACCTTTATAGTAATTCATCCAAGGATTCTGACCTATTACCATAAACATAGAACTTCTGGAATAGGAAAAAAAATAAAGCTTTTTACACATAATAGTCAGTTCTCAAAGTTGACCTTCACCCCAAACCCCACACTGACACAATATACAAGTATTACAACTAGAATATCGTCTGTAAGCCCCCCTTGACCATGTAAAACTTCCATTATTTCAAAATTGTCTATGAATAAGTAACAATGACTTTGACCTTTGAATCTTGAAATTCATAATCAACTTTTAAGGCCTTGTCAAGCTTTTAAAATATAGTACTTAAGGACTCATCCTCTATTTCTTAATTCAGTTTTGAGCCACATATAAAAATAGTAAACTGTACATACCTAAGCTGGTATCTCCAAAACGGCCAGTCAGTGTACATTGTGATGTTGTTCCACATGGACAAGATGTCTGGTACTTTCCTCTCTCTTTTTCTTTACTCTGCTTGTCAAGTAAATAGTTTGAAGATATAGCCAACCTCCCAAATAGGTGGTTTGCCAGGATGATGGTAAGATCTGCCTCACTTTTCCTGTCTAGATCAGCCAATGGTGATTCTGAAAAGAAATAAGTGATACTTAAGGATCCTCGTACCACTACCAAAATCTTCAACTACCCATTGGAAGCTTTCTTTCCAAGTTGACTATATAGCTTAGATAGGGGCCGCGGTGGCCAAGTGGTGAAGGCGTCCGACATTCTGCTATCACCAGCCCTCCACCACTGCGTCGTGGGCTCAAGGCCTACATTGGGCAGTTGCCAGGTACTGGCCATAGGTCCAGGTTGGTGGTTTTTCTCCAGGAGCTCCGGTTTTCATCCACTACCAAAACCTGCCACATCCATAAATGACCATAGCTGTTACAGTGTAATAGGACGTAAAACACAAACAAACCAAATAGCTTAGATAAACTATTTCCGAAAAGAAAACCATGCCTTTGAGGTCCTATATGAAAAATAGTATAGGTGAAATGAATAAAATATAATCAACAACAGTTTTCTAAGTGTAAAAAATCAGTGGGGCTAGACCGGGATCCAAACTGTAGACTTCAGATTGTTACAAAGTTGCTCTAACTGAAAAAAGCTACCTGTTCAAGAGAAGTGTCCTGGTTCAATTGTGCTACAGTTATATATCCAAACAGAAGTTAAGGGGATGTAACTGAATATAAGAAACCACAGTGCAGTGGGACAGGGAGCTTTAACATGGATCATATAAAATCAAAGAACAAAAAAAACAAAGGCTTACAATCACTTTTATACATTTAAGCAAGCAATGTGCACATAATTGAACAAATAAAACGGTGGTATTTATATAAAGTCTTTGCAAAGATACTTAAATGCAGACGTGAAGAGGTGAGTTTTGATGTCCCTCTTGAACTTGGACAGGGTATTGGACTTTCTAATTGCAGATGGTAAGCTATTTCACAACGTAGTCGAAACCCTCCAAAAGCATCTGTTTCCGTAGGTCACAGTCGAGATATTGGGACACACAACAAAGATTCTGCCTCCGACCGCAGTGAACGTGACGGCTGATACAGGGTAACAAGCTCCTGTACCAACACTAACTAACAAATCATATGCTGAACGCCTAAGAATACTCGGTCTACCCTGGAATACAGAGAGAGCAGACATGGTCAAAGTGTACAGAATCCTTAATAACATCGACAAACTTGATAAGGATAAGTTATTCCAACCCTGGAATACAGGAGGGAGAGACATGGTCAAAGTGTACAGAATCCTTAATAACATCGACAAACTTGATAAGGATAAGCTATTCCAACCCTGGAATACAGGAGGGAGAGAGCAGACATGGTCAAAGTGTACAGAATCCTTAATAACATCGACAAACTTGATAAGGATAAGCTATTCCAACCCTGGAATACAGGAGGGAGAGAGCAGACATGGTCAAAGTGTACAGAATCCTTAATAACATCGACAAACTTGATAAGGATAAGCTATTCCAACCCTGCGAATACAGATCTACAAGGGGGCTGTTTAAAAGGCCCTACAAAAAGCTGATCACAGGAAATTTCTTTAGCAACCGCATTATTAAACCGTGGAACTCGTTGCCTGAGGAAGTGGTCTCATCACCGAGCCTAAACTGCTTTAAGGAAAGACTAAACAAGTCCTGGAGAAATCACCCGAGGAAATTCAACCCCTCATTTTGGTATTAAGACTGGATCTACCACTCCAATACCATACTTAACATCAAGTGACTCAACTAAAAACAATGTACTGTTTGAGTTTTTTATGCAAACTCTACAACGGAAGGGCTCAACCCTTTTATCTACATGTATGTGAACAAACGAGTGGATTAGTTTTTATAATTTTAAAACCTATTATTTCCATAGACATGATTGCTACACTATTATGATTAAGGAAATAATAAGTGTGCAACCGGAAAAGTAAGTTGCAAGTGAAGAAATAACAATGATGCATCACCACAAGCTTGAACTAGCTTTCAACGATGCCACATCAGCAATTCAGCAATTCTGCACAAACATGCACCATAGTTTTCCTTGATTTGAAACAAACCTTGACATAAAACAAATCTAAAGTATTCATATTCCATGCTAAATTAATTTGTTGTTTAAGTGATCTATCTCTTAAATTGTGTAGCATTTTTGTTTTTAATAATATTTCTTTTCAGTGACAGAACAAGAATAAATGCGTGCTAAAGTTAATTTTGCATGATTGGCTAATGACTCCTCTAAAAGGGGCGATAACTCCTACATAACTTTTTAAAAGTAAATTGTAATACTTTACTATCGGCGAATGTTAACAGTTATGATGCATTGGTCATCAATTTATGATTGAGCGATGCGTCGGTGAATCGTTACACTCTAATTAAGACATCTGTAATTGGTTTAGTGTATCTCAAAGGTATTATATTCCAGAAATCAAGTCCCTGTGAGTCTCTTGAAGTCTTACCTATCTCCCCTTGATATTGTTGATCAGTTTCGACTAGATAATGAAGGAGCTTGTCGAGTAGAAATTCCTCTTGTTTATTTCCTGGTAACTTTGTTATCCTGGCCTCTTGATCTGGGTCTGCATCAATGAAATTCATCAATAGGTTTGTTCCTTTTTGGAAGACACTCCACAATGAAAATACATTTTCGAAAGGTACCACGCTACAGTAGGCATTGGAAAACATAGAAAGATCAGCAGCATTACAGTTGAGTAATTTAAGGGGAGTCAACCTCACAATCCTGGACGCAAAGTTATCGACCAACAACCTTTCTAATGCGCGCGTGACACCTTTCAGAATCCTTTCTGGTATTTCAGAAAATAAATGATTCTTTTCAGAATAGGAGTCTCTGGAATCACACAAACCAATGTTACATTTTCGCCTCCGCAAATGGCAGGATTCGCTTGGTCCACCATCCTCACCTAAATCACGTGCACGTTTATTCACAGACGTTTTCGCACCTTCATCCGTTAAATCAGACATTTCAACAAGTCGTAGAAAACGATAACAAACCGCTCACGAGAAAAGGGAAGTTACTCTCTGCACATACACAAGCCTTACTTTCGGTTTCTAAATATAGAATAGATCAGAACATAACTTATGTATTCAAAAACACTCCATAAAGAATTTGTCAATATCAAACTCAAACTCCGAAAGTATATAAAATGTAATTCAAGATACTTGAGAGGAAGAAAATATTTTTTTTTTAAATCACATTTATAATCCCAAAAGCCTGTAGTTTTTGTATGGTATGGGGAGCTACAACTCTAAAGATATCTAGTTAAAATCAGCATTGACAATCGAATCAAACAGTAGCATATATATATATATACGAAGACGATGATTACTTGTTTTCAATTTTCTTAAACTGCGTCGTCTAGCTTTACAAACATGTATATCTAGGGTCTAGTGAGTATTTTTCAAAATTATAGTTTTCAGTTTGTATTTTCAAAACGTTTCGCTTGATTATGTAAGGTCACATTTATATATAAGCGCCATGCATCTAAATGAAAGATTGTCAACATTTCAAAATAGAGTCGGTTCGGGTAATTCCGTACATGAGGATTATTCAGTAGGCCTACACTCGCATCAAAATGCCGTTGCGGGGAAAAAAAGTATTTTTTCACTTAAGTAAAAAACAAACTTGACGAAATGGCAAAAAAAATCTGTCCTTAGAACTATGTGCAATGTAGATCTTTAACTATTTGTTCTTTTGAACTTAAGTGGAAAAAAGTCGTTTTTCAAATAAGTGTCAATCTTTTTTTCAAAACTACTTTTTCCATTGAAGAGAACGCTTCAAAATGGGTACTGGAACCGTCCATTTTGTCGAAAGGGGTATGAGGATTTTTTTTGTAAAGATATGTGTTAAAGTCAAAAAAAAATTGCCATTATGTGATGTTTTGCCATTTAGTAAATCTTTTGCACTTAACTGCGAAAACTTTTTCACTTAAATAGTATTGGTATTTAATCCTAAACGGCCGCCCATAGTTTTCTCCATTATTTTCACGTTGTTGCAGAGATGACGGCGGGGTGGAGGATGGGGAGTACTACATATGTGGAGTAGGGGCGAGGGTTAACTTATTGGGGAATTTCAGGTAAATGAATGCTTAATAAATCACTGTAGTTGTCTCGGCGCTACAGTTCGTGCAGGCGCGCGGGCGCGCGCGCGCACGCGGGCACCCATCCACCCACGGACCACGCGCTTGACGTTGCTGGACTAGTGAGTACGTCAAAGATAGCTTCTTATAAGGAAGTATTTCCTTCTCATATTAATTGGCTGTGTTACAATTCACCACATCATTAAATTTAGATACATCGATATCAACACTGATTAGCTTATGAAACTCCTGACTCAATAAACTATTTACATTGGCAGTGTCAACGAGTCCTACACGTTTAAGATTTTAGACAAATACATTAATAGTCATAACACATTAATATAATCAACCAGTTAAGGACAAGTATATGCCTAGTGGAAGGGATAGTATCCTAGCGTTCATTCGCGGATCACCCACAATCACAACTTATCGTTACGGTCTTCGTATATATAACAATTCAATATTTCTAACATTATTCATTATGTACCTAAGGTCATTACTCGCGCGCGCATTTGATTCAGTGATCAGGTGATACTTGATCAGGTGCGTGGTTTTAAAGTCTGTTAATAGACGCGGGAAAATGTATGGTACGGTACCTGGGGGAACCAACTGGACGCAAATCTGGCGAAGTTCTAATCTACAAAACATTTGATGCCTTGACAGTTATAAATAATGAGCTTAAGCGTATTTTTTTATTTGACCCAAACTCCATAAGACGTCCGTTTTTATCGTTAACTGTTAGTTACCGATCTTTGCCTTTGATAAAAAAAAATAAAAAATGTATCTTTATTCTACGTTCGACGTGTTGGTACTAGCTATAGGGGCCCGCTGATCGTGTACAGGACAGTGGCCCTCGTAGAGTCCAGCTATTTTTAATATTATGCAAATATGGATGGTTAATACTTAACGAAGTTTTTAGTATTTGTTCATGTCACCGAAAGTTCTTTAGAATGTGGAAGTGCCTGTTGGAAAGACAACTATACTTCTTTTTCAATGAACAGACAGACTATATATTTTGTCTTTGGCATACACATGAGATATATATCATATGAACCGTGAGGAGACATTGTTGTCATGGTATGTTACGGAATAGAACACTCAAACTTACATGTCCATGTCGTTGTAGGAAAATCACGGCAAATGTTGCCTGCTTCACTTTGAAAGAGGAAAACCTCATAATATTTATGTCTTTGACATGAAATTCTTCTCATTTAATCATGGATTTATGGAAAGGAATATTTATTGGACCCTTTTGAACTTTTAAATGTATGTAAACACGATTTACTTTTTCTTGATCCGAACTTTGAAAATGTGATCGTCAGCATCGGGAAAATCAGCTATGGACAGTAAGAGGTTACACGGCGCCTGTCCAAAGTTTCTCGCCGTGTAAACCTCTAACACTGTTGGAGTAGAGAAGAGCGTAACTGGTTAGTACCACTACATGTAAATAGCAAGCACATGAGAAGAGTGGAACTGGAAAGTACCACTTTATAGCAAAAACACGAGAAAAATGTAACTGGAAAGTACCACTAAATAGAAGTGAACAGGCGTACAACTTGTTAGAAGAGGACATACAAACTGTACAATTGGCTCACAATGAACGCGATAAATATACACCTTGTTAGCAGTTACCTGCAAGTGGTGAACGACAGGATTAGAGGCTAATACTCAAAATGAGAAGTGTAATACTGACGAGCACGGAAAACGGGAGGTGTACATTTGATTCGAAGATATATATGACTGGAACACGGAGATGTACGACTGGGTAGTAATAGTATAAACACATTCAAAACGTCAACCATTGCGTTTTGCTAGATCAAAAGGCCAAGGTCAGACAACTTGTCACAAACCCAGTTTTTCTGTGTTAATATATATAGTAGTAGTATTCTCAATGCAATGTTAGTAAGTTGTTTTTTTGTTTTATTTATGTTTGGTCGGCCATACGTGAATCCAGGTCCTATCTTCCACGTGACTCGTTTGTTATGAACTCCTTTTTATTACAAACAGTACGAATACATGGTCTATTATAACGGTCAACGACTGGAACGAAATTATGAAATTTACGACCGACTGAGAAACTCAGGGATTTCCTTAGAGGATCAATATAGTTCTTTTATCGCTTTTCCTGTAAGCGCGTTATCAACACCTCTTGTCCAGTTTATCTGAAATGCGTTTCAGTGAATGTTCATCTGGGTACGAAATTGCATTGCCACTGGTGTATAGATGGACGAAAATAAAGAAGTCATACACAGGTATAACGCGATTCAAACCGTTTGTGTCATGTACTAAGTAATTAATGTACACTGCAAAAAGTTTCGGCGAGACCTGCAATAATATAAAAGATCGTCTTTCCCCCGTTTCGGCTTGAAAGACCAATCCCTAGGAAACAATGGAAACAAAATATGAAAAATAAATCAACATGTGCTTTCTTACGGAAATACCACAGGAAAACAAGTCTAACTAGTCTTTTTTCTGAGATGTGCATGAAAATAAAGCCAGAACTTCTCAATTAACTAGGTCACTTAAAATGTAGATGCATCACCAATGAAATATATCGCCATAACTATATTCCAATAAACGAATAATACCAATTACATTTCCATCATCCTTTATAGCGTCTTTCAAATACCCTGCGTCCCATTTCTCCGGAATTCCTCCAATTTAAATCGTTGGTTTTAATTTGCTTGTTTACTTGATAAATTTGCTTGGCATTCCTGTGTCAACGATCTGTCATTACAAAGCTGTCTCTATCCTCATTATATTAGAATTGCTGGTTTTACTACCCAACCAATCCTTTTCTTACATTAATACCTAACGTCTCGCTGTTGTTGCAACTCATAACTCGCACTTCGGTTTCGCCCTGGATGCACTACTCGGACGTCGATTTCCGCCGGAAGAACAGTTAAATTTGTCTCTATTTTAAGCAAGATTGACACAATTGAATGTGTTAAGATCGTTGTCATTTATTTTCGATCGTTTCCCTGGTGAGACACCCGACATCTATCTGTCAAAATATCTAAGTCTGGTGTCCGGGTCAGAGAAAACTCGGGCTAAGCACATCCAAAACCACATCGGAAGGGTCAAAAGGACACCTTTGGTTTATTTGTAAGAACCAGAGTCAGTGCACAGTTAAGGTTATTGCCACCGAATATTGTAGCCTTGTGTGTCTTAGTTGGTTATCCCCCGCTGAAACATAAGCTGGGATGATAAATGCTTCCGTTGAAAGCAGATTGTTTATCGTTGGAAGCTAGGTAAGGCTCCTCTTGGTACATTTGTGGTTTGTTTTAAAATCTTTAATGTATTGGAATGTAATGTTTTTCAAGTTTGTCACACAACAATTGTACAACACGGTGATGTCCCTTTTGAAGAAAACAACCTTAAGAAAAATCCGTATGCTTAATATATTGCTTTCTCCCAGACAGAACTGAGCTTCATGAGGTCACCGAGAACAAGGAAAGATATATTCACAAAAATGTCATTTTAAACATGCCTTCTGATCAAGTTAAGGTTTGACAATATTTTGAGATATAATCATATTCTTTCATTAATTGCAAGAAGTTCAGCAAAATCATTTTGTAGAGTTTTGCCATTATTAATTCCAACTTAACCATTTGGAGTTGTCAGCACTATGGTTGGAAGGTTATGTCTGTGTTTGGGGCATTGGTGGCCGACTGGTTTGGACTGTATGATTTAAACGCATACCAATAGTCCCTCCACTAAAAGGCACGTGAAGTGGGGCATGTTGTTCTTGTATAAAAGGCATGTAAAATGGGGGATGTAGCATGCCATTCTGGCAATGTGCAAGCCACATACTATACCGGCAGCAGCTCAAATACAAGTTTTGTGAATGACTAAATAATTTGTGTATGTCAAACAAAATCAGCGTATGGGTTCATGTTTTCAATCAGTATAACGGAGCAATTTGATGA